GGCTCCACAGAAGCCAGCTTTCCAACTCGGTGCACTCAGTAATAAGGTGCTCTGGTATTTCCCCATTCTCAGAATCTGCATTTGCCGTTGTTTCTAACCTTCAATCTACTGAGGTGTTCGTTGAGGGAAAAGTGTTCTGTTAGAAACCCCGTGACAATCCAAAGATTGTTCTTATTTAAATCAAGGAAAATTTTTCTCGGTCGTAAGTTTACAAAAACTTTTTTATGTCTCTTAAGCCGTTGGAGGATTCCCATTCCAGGTTTTCTGATGGAGTCTTCCAGGTTCTTGAGTTCTGCTTTCAGTTGGATTCCGCTTGGAAGGCAGAACGGTTCTGCTCCAGTTAGTGGAGTGTTCACTCCTTTTCTAGGTAGAGCGTTTGCTTTTTCATTGCCTTCAATTGTCTATTATTTTCATTGCCTAATTTGTTCAGCTTCTCGAGGCATTCTTTGACCAACTTCGTATTGATGGTTACTGGGTTGATCGCTTTTAGTGTTGCTTGACTATTGTTAAGATGGCTATTTTCTATTTTCGAGAGTTCCTTATCTAAAATAAATTGTACGCATCTTTCCATCGCATAGATTTCGCATCAAGGAGACCGAGATCGACAAAATATGAAGAAACAACATTTAATCGGCATTACACGGTCCACACAATTTTGATAACAGGAGAGAAAAGTCAATGGCGTACATGTTTTTTTGGAAGAATAACACATTTTTTTATTAATAATAACACTTTAATTTTATACCATAAAAGTTGTTTAATTAACTTTAATCTTAATTTTTTTAAACCAGTACCCTTTGACTTATCTTTCTTCGGTACCAAAATCTATTATTTTCCTATCGTGTGATGTCGTTATTTTACAGCTACTCTAGTTTTTAGTACCATATACGGGATGGTAAACAAACTTTATTGATGGTAACTTTATTGGTGACTAATAAAACTCTCTGTCCTGGCACAGAATATTAACTATAAACTGCTCTGGGTGCTCGGGGTCTGCATCTGATCTTCTGTCGAAATCTTACCTGGGTAATAAAACAGAGTATTCTTTTTCTTTGACACAATAATATTTTTGGTTTTATTTTAACTAAAAGAAAAACATTAAAAAAACAAATGATAGATATTTTGTATATATGCCCCTGATGGCATGATATATCCTCATCTAAATACATGGATTGCTTCGTTTCACCTCCTGGTATTGTAATCCTTATTTTTGTCCCTGCGACAAAAATAAAGGACTCCTGAATCCTTTTTTAATAAATTAAATGCTCTGAGAGCGAATTCTTGAACTTCGACATAAAAACCGTAACGCTGTTAAAGCGGTGAGCGAAAGTGAATACGTTCGCTAAGCATCAGTCGATTTTGGTATTCTAAAATCGTTTTCTGGATACGCGTTGAACACATGATGGCAGCATCGCAATTTCTCAGGTATCTAATAGGCAAATGTGGACAAAACAATGAAAAATGTCAATGTTACGTGAATTTCATAACCAATTATTGTTGAGTTATGTCAACCTATTTTTCTATGGATATGTCAGTATTCTTATTATATGAGGGAAATGTTGAAGACGCTTCTAAGCATCTTCGTTATTTTGAACAATATTTATAGTTGCCAAGTCGAAAATTATCAATTACTTATTGAGGAATTTATAAAAGAAAAAGTAGTTTTCACTAAAGAGCAAGAGAACGCACAAAATCACATTTTTTTCTATTTTTACTGACAGGTCGACAAGCAAAACGATCCTTTTAAGGTAGCCGTTTTCGAAACAATAAGCACGTTAGATGAGAATACCCAAATTGGTAGTTAAGTGCGCGTTAAGCGAAAATTAACGTCATACACGCTGAGCGTCTAAAAGCGCTTAGCGTTTCCCAAAGCCAAAAGCGCTTTAGCGTTTACAAAATTCGGGCCCTGGAACACCGAGGACAATTCTCCTTATAGTTTGCCTTTATGAAACAATTATTAAATATAAATATGCCACCTCTGCATTATCTTCGTATTCTATGACCGTTACTGGAATGGGCTGATGTCATATCAGTCACTTTACGATTTTTTTACGGTCCGAGAACGAGTAAAATTAAGACGTGTCCAGCTCTAGAGCCCGTTTTATTGCGATTTTAATGAGCAGCTATATTTCTTCAGATACTGGTCTTCCAGATCAATTAAAGTTGAGTATCTCAACGTAATATAACTTAAGTACGAGGACGGACGGTATAAATATAGAGTTGTTACATTAATACCTACTTAATTATTACGTAAGCTGTATACAGGGGACTGCTTACAAAGTAGCAACATGGATTATATCTGAAAGGAAAAATACAATTCGGAAGATATAAAATATACAGGGTGGTCCAATAGTCGAGGAATTCCAATATCGTCGTTGTTGATGAAGATATGAAATATAGTTTTATACACCCATATATTTATATATTTTTCAGGGAGTCTTAAATGAATATAAATATTTTCACACAGGGCTGGTTAATCTCGATAAATGAAACATATTTTCTTTTTATCGTATTTGAGATAAGTCCAAAAGAGTTATTTTTACATTGAAAATTAAAAAAAAAATGATTTTTTGTTAATTTTGAGAACCACCGGATTTTTTCAAGGATTTCGTTCTTCTAAGTTAATCTACAACCTATGTTACCATTATATCAAGATATTATGTTTTTAACAATTTTTTTTAACTCGCGGAAAAAGCTTATAGATGTGTTCCCAGTGGTCGAAATATACCACCCCTAAAAATATTTCTACTTATTTAAGACTCACCCTGTATAAATGTTACTTGGTTTATAATAAGGGTCTTCCAAAAGAAAATAATGATAACGTTGTAATGAATAATAATAATTCAACATAAAATTCTCTATACCGGGTGCATCTCCAAAAGTGGCTCACCATATAACTTTTCTTATTTTTTCAGATAAATAAACGAGACTTGTTATGGTAGTATACGACATAAATTAGGATTGATTGACGCATTCAATTGTTTTCAGTCACTTCCTGTTTCACCGGAAATGACTACAAATTTTATTTTTTAAATGACACCCTCGGTATTTTTTTACTTTATTCGATACAAAATGACATTCAAAACAAGACACAAAAAAATATTAGACGATCAAATCTATTTTTCCAAGGCTCCTTCATTAAAAACTAGTGTTTTTAACAGAGCCGATTGAAATTTCTATTTCTATTTCAATTTTTTTTCTGATTTACACTCTAGATTGAAATTTAAAATACAATTTTTAAAGAGAAAATGTCAAAAGTTGACATATGATATGTCATTCTATTCAGACTGGCATTTTCTATCGAATAAAGAAAAATATACCGAAGGTGCCATTTAAAAATCAAAAGTTTGAGTCATTTCCGGTGAACCAGGAAGTGACCAAAAACAACTGAATACGTCAATCAATGCTAATTTATGTCATGTACTGACATATCAAATCTCGTTTTTTTTAAAAAAAAGAAAAAATAAAAAAAGTTATAGGGGTGAGTCATTTTTGAAACGTACCCAGTATAGTGCAGTATTTTTACGTGAATCAATATGCGGTGTTGCCATGCTATTTCGTATTTACTAAAGCTTTGTTTAAAAATTGTTATGGTGGTCTTATTTTATGACCGTTACTGGAATGGACTAATATGTCATATCGGTCATTATACGATTTTTTTACGGTTTGAGAACGCCGTATAAAATACTCTTTGTAAGATATAATGTAGGTGTTTCTTCCCATATCTTGTGCTTTTCACAACATTTCATCTTTTCAAAGTCCAAAATACCCGAATTATTCAAGTTTGAAAATTGATTTATTATTAAAAACACCCGGTTTTTTTTCTGTATTTGCATCCCTTTTAGTGCCGTAACAGTAAATGGTGAGATTAAGAAATTAGAGATTCATTAAGAATTCAGAGAGATTAAAAAAATATGCGGCGAACAGGCGGTTCTAAAAAGTTTTCTAAAATATACAGGAAAATTTAAAAGAAAATGTAAGATTTTGAACATATTTTTTCTGGGGTCAAAATATAGACTCCTAAAAATATTTGTACTTATTTAAGACTCATCCTGTATATTATGCAACATTCATATAAAACTTTTGTTTCATAATTACTAGGTTTCAAAAATGTTGCTTACTTTTAAACAGGGAAGTCTAAAAAATGTAATAGTATCTACGATTGAAGATTGAGACTGTAAAGAGAAAGCAATGAGCTTTTTAACGATGTCGAACGCACGGTTGGTTTGTATTAAAAAAGGTGTAGCTGTTCTATAAGAGATGAGGGTGGGTGAATTCAAAAATACCTCATTTTGGTTCTTCTTCCAAATTACCGATATCTATTTGAAATATCCCTCATAGTATTTTTACGGTTAGATATATTCACGGTTATGATAAAACCTTAAAGAGACCATTTCACTAGTCAGTAGCAAAATAAGCGTTCGGCATTTAACGTTTTATGTAAAACTGGGTACGTATTTTTACACAAATGAAGAAGAAAATTAAAGATAAAGGATTATACTATATCCGTATTGTATCGTATTTTTAGAAAATTTCTTTATCTTCAAGACTTTGATGGTCAGACATGAACAAAATATTCCTTATGTTTGGACTAAATTTACTCGAAAATAAAGACGTAATTTAAAATTCCGTTACAATACGGAAATAGATAAAAATTTTGTGATTACAATGATATATGATTTATATATGGTTTTGTAACAAATTGCTCGCTATTTTATGGGAAATGCTGAAGCCCTGCAAATATTAATCAAGCCTTAATGCAAGCACGTGTGTTTGGAATTGTAGATGTAGCTTAACGCAACAGTATCGGGCTAAGCCTTTGGCAGATTTCTGAATTATAATATATATTTCCTACAGCCACCATCTGCTGTCCCCGACCCCTGAGAGCGATCCGAATAGTACAGCGTAATAGACTCTTAATAGAATTCACAGTCTCAACAATTTTCTATCGAACATCATAACTGAATACGTTCATTTTAATGTGATTTTCTTGATTGCAGATAAAGATGAGCGTTGCACTGAAGAAACCTGCGTCGGTATCAGCAGTGGCACCGCCGCTGCCGTATCGGGTGAGAATTTTTGCACGTGCAGGTGCCATTCGCATCTGCCAGCCTTCAGAGAAGATCTTAGAATATGCGTAGATGACATTAACGGTAAGTACCTCATTCTTCCTTTACCCTGGGGTACAGAATCGGGAAAAAAGTGTTTTCTTTTTGAGACGTTTCACTATACGGAAGAAAATAAACAACAAAATATATTGCAGAAGATTATAAAATCTATTACAGAAAATCCGTTATTTTTTCCGATTCATTACTACTACAGTTTTCAAAAATGCTGCTTATTTTTAAACAACTATGATAATATAATAGAAACAGCTTTAATATTAATAACTATGTAATATTTTGCTTTTAGACTGTAAAGAGGAACCATATGCTTGTATAGTATGATCGAAAAAAAAACGGCGTCAGCGATGGCTATGAAATGAAGATCGCTGTCCAACTGGATGCTTTTTTTTTCGATCATACGATGTAAAGCTTATGAAGCATTTTTAGAATAAATATTTTCAAGTGGATTAACACGGGTACCTTAAAAATTTCATGTAGTTTAAGGTTTAATATATTTTGTTCTAGTGGACCGATGATTTTTCAGCAATATGTAGCTAAATTATTAAACGTTTCAGTATCTCTTTCGAAATTAAAAATGGAAGTTCCCATCTGTCAATTATACGAGGGAAAACAAAATGTTGATATTTGGGTAAAAGTTTAAAACACCCTGTGGATTATGTTAAGACAGCAAGGAATTTAAAGATAATTTTATCATCTAGGTACATCCTAGTATTCTCGATAGTTAGTTTTTTGGTTCATCTCGATAGTTTTATTTTTGTGGGAGATATTCGCTTTTGAAGAAGATACTAACATTTTTTTCGTAATTCTTATATTAAAACCTCACCTTTGCTTTTGGTCCTAGTCAACAGACCCAGTAAGTTGTGGTCCCGAAGCAGGCCCTATTGATATAAGATTTGTTTGGTTTAATATTTTTATTGCAGTTTGTTCACTTACATGTACGTTCCTTAGGGGCAATTCATTACAAATTTGAAGAGTTGGCAAAAGGTGGTTTCTTAGCGATAAACTTACAATAAGTCAATTGTCTCGATTCGAAGTTCTCATACGACGGTTCCTAGACATCTAGCTTACGAACTTGCCTCGAGGAAGTGACTGCACTGTACACCTAAATCTGTTAGCGACCTAATTTTGATCTCTATCATCTAACAGCCAACATCTATCTATCCCTAACGGCCAACGGACAATAATACTATATTTTTTCTATAACAATGACATTACATAAATCATAATCACTATTTCATAGGTCTGTTGACTGGGACCAAAACAAAAGGCATGGTTTTAATGTAGAAATTGCGAAAAAATGTTAGTTTCTTCTTCAAAAGATAATATCTCAAACAAGAATAAAACTATTCAGATGAACCAAAAAACAAACCATCGAGAAAGGATGTACCTAGATGATAAAATTATTTTTAAATTCCTTGCTGTCTTAATGTATTCTACAGGATGTTTCAAACTTTCACCAAAATAACAACATTTTGTGTTCCCTCGTATAATTGACAGATTAGATTAACTTTCATTTTTAATTTAGAAAGAGATCCTAATAAGTCAAATAATTTATCTATAAACCGCTTAAAAGATCATCAAAATCGGTTAGGATCACTAGAACACAATATATAAAATTTTAAAACACATCAGGATTTTAAGGTGCTCGTTTTTCGTGCATGTGAGTGTATTTATTGTCATTCTGTTATCTCATAAATAATCATTTAAAAACATATATTTATTTATACCATACGATCGAAAAAAAAACGGCGTTAGAGACGACTGGGGAATGACAATCCTGGCTCGTACTCTTCTTAGCCCGTTTACTTCTTTATTTTCTATGATGCTTACTGCTGGCCTTAAGAAGGCTGTAATTTATTGAGTAAAAATGATTTTTAAATGGTGTAGTTTAATTTAAAATTCGAGAGAAAATTATTTTTTGGAAATATATTTGTGTCTCTGGTAAGGTTCTATCATTTTCAAGTTTAAGGTCAATTTTTAGTACATGACGTTTAGAGACTGATTTCGCCAAAATTATCATCGATTGTCATTTCCCAACCGCCTTTGATGCTGTTTTTTTATCGTTTTAAACAAGAAACCGTTATTTATTTTATTTTTCAACCTTACTTAAATTGTAAAATTTAATGAAAAAGAAGTAAATATAATAATTGCGGAAGTTTGCATATGAAAAAACTACTGATGGTATGAGTATAGGTACAGTAGAAAACGCCATATGCCGAAGATGAAATATAGCGATGATTCGAACACTACAAATATCTAGCTGATTAAATAGTTCGGCTGGTGAGAACCATATGGTCCTCGGCAGAAACGGTTTTTCGAAAAATTTTGAAACATCTTCGCTAACGGTAATGGAACGATTATATGGAGGAGTCGTAGAATGTAGAATTTATTATTATTATTCCGTTTTTTATCTTCTTATTTTTATTAAATTTGAATAATTTTAACGTATAGTCGATTGATTAATGTTACATTTTTAAATAAACTTCTATTCTATAACCCAGATTCTTTCCTCAATATTCTTCTTTCTTCAATATATCTTCAATAAATGTAATATAAATTTTTATAAATAATATCTACCGGATGCGCCTCAAAAGTGGCTCAACCCTATAACTTTTTTATTTTTTCAGATAAAAAAAACAGATTTGGTATGTTAGTATATGACATAAATTAGGATTGATTGACATATTCAATTGTTTTTGGTCACTTCCTGGTTTACCGGAAATGACTACAACTTTTGATTTTTAAATGGCATCCTCCGTATTTTTTTACTTTATTCCATAGAAAATGACATTCTGAATAGAATGACATATCATATGTCAACTTTTGATATTTTCGTTTAATAAAAAATCGTATTTTAAATTAGGCTATGTTTACAACACTAATTCTTAATCAAGGAGTCTTAGAAAAGTCATTTAGTCATTTAGTCATTTCCGGTGAAACAGGAAGTGATTGAAAACAATTGAATACGTCAATCAATCCTAATTTATATCATATACTAACATACCAAATCTTGTTTTTTATCTAAAAAAGTTATAGAGGTGAGCCACTTTTGAGACGTACCCAGTATACCTTTGTAGCGCGGGTTCATTTCTTCAAAAAAACTTCTGGGTATTTTGTCACTAGAAAAAAATCTACAAAATAAAATAGATATTTTTTGAAAACATCGGCATCGTTGCGTTCATCCAACGGAGATTAATTTGTCAGCGGTATTCTACTAATAAAACAAAATGATCTACTAAAAAATGCATCTACACTCAGATGCAAAAAAACGTAACGGAAAAATGTTTGGTCAAGTGTAAAATGTTATATTTTCTTAGTTTTAACGCTATTTCGATTTTTTTAACAATCTATATATAAATATATAAAACTTTAATTTGTAAACTCTGTTTTATAGTATGTATAAACTTTAGTATTTGACTTATGATACAGCGTTAATCGAAGAATTGTTTTTTATCCTATCTTTAAAAGACCCTGTGTAATAATTTCGTGAGCAAATTTTCCTAAAACTTTATTTTGCAGTCAGAACCATGTCTCCCGAATATTTTATTTTTTGACTCTTGTCATCACATGCCTTGGTTAGTTTTAAGAGGAAATGAACTTGCCACAAAGATTTTACAATTTTTTCAATTATCATTACATTTTGATGTTATTTTTCATAATGACATAGTGGCTTTGGTGATTATTGTTGTGTAAGACGGAATATGTTTTTTACTGTCGGAGATTGTGCAAACGTCATGGATCTTGTTAAAGAAGGCCGAAATTATGAATATTCGCCTAGTCCTTGAAGTAGAATGGGAAAACAACACAATATATTTCTACAGACAGTTATAGCAGTTGGTTTTACAAGTTTTTTTGTTTGTACTCTTAGTTATTACAGTTTTTGCCCGCTATGCAATTTGGTTTTATTAGTAAAATATCGCTAACAAATTGGTCAACGCTGCGATGTTTACAAAAAAAAACTATTTAAAGAGTCCAGAAGACTTTTTTGAATATATTTTTATGTTACATTGGATCTTAATATGAAAAAAAGTGTTGTACTTAAATATAACTGTATAATTCAGTTGCTTTCGAAGAAGTTGCATTGATAACGAAACTAATTACATAGTAAAATAAAACAAAAATAGTAGTGGAACTATTAAGCTACAGATGTTTTATTACATATTTAACCCAAGCTAATTGAAAAACAACAAACCATTTTCTGTCGGATTCGCAGTTGCGTTACTAGTCAAATTGCAAGATATCTAATCAAATATTACATGAAAATTAATGTAATTAACGTTCTGTTAAGAAATATTTAGCGAAAATATATCGTCCTTATAAATGCACAATGTCACTTAGAGTGATTTACGTTGAAATTACCGCAGGTACGGAAGTCGCTACAGTGCTACCAACTGAACGTTAAGTCTGGTTAAGTAATAATCTGGTTCTGCTAAACTGGACGAATGCGTTCGTATAATGGTTTACAACTTCCACGTTTTGACAGCAGCATTATAGCGACATGGAGGTAATTAAAACTGAGACTAGCTATTTTTGTATTTATTTTAAACGGTTTTAATGAAATACAACATTATGTATTTTTAAACAAAATTTAACCGTTTATACCACCTATGGTGTTGCTGTATTTACGGTATACCTATAATAGGTGTTAAATTTAGATAATTTTTTTTTTGTTGAATGCTTGTTGATATTTCAAAAAGTCATTTCGTTTAGTGCAATATGGAACAACATTCTCTTAACTGTAAATGATAATGATAACAGTGTATTAATAAATTATTGAATATTTAGGATGATGATATGAATAAATAATATATTTTTGGGGTTTTATAAAGTTTTTTATGAAATACAACATTTTGTAAAAAATTTCGTATAAATATATGCCCTAAAATGCTTAGGTTTGAAGTTACAGGGTGTAGAAACACAGATTACTAAAATAGTAAAAGTTTCATTTTTATTTCGATTTTTTCCAAATAATTTCTGAAGTAATTACAATATTTGGATGAAAATTGGTGTCTGAGAGTTTTTTATAA